GAAGATTAACACGGATTACAAACGACGAATCTGAAAAATTGAGGCTAAACTGTTCAATATGCGCAAACCGTGACTGAGCTCCTTTAAACTCGAATAAAATAAGGATGCATGGCAGTAACATTTAGGAGTTAGAGGATATAGTCTGAGTAAAAAGCGAGTAACTTAAAACATAACAGAACTCTGAAAGCACGAAGATCTCGAGAATAAAATCATGATATTACTAGAACAACAAATGTTCTTAAAGGTCAAAGAGGAGCATACCTGAAAAGCCTGCTTGATGCCGCCATTATCGGCGATGTTTTCTCCAAGTGTTTGCTTACCGTTCAGCTGTGTAACGTACAACGGATGTTAAATCAAATCAAATAAAATGCGCCTACCGCAGTTATCGCAATTTTATAATTAATTTAAGTAATAACAAATTGAGCCCGAAGGAACAGATTTTCTGAACTTCAACGAGATTCGTTCGAGCCCGCGACCTCTGAGTTAGCAGGGTTTTTTTTTACCAACTCAGCTTTGAAGACCCGTTCATTGCGAAAAGCCCAAGTTATTGACTTCATCGTGGAAAGAATAAACCATGGCATGAAAACGATGTGATTGGTGAGCTGCGAAAATACAAATGAAGTAAATTTGTGATTTGTATTTTCTCAGTTCATATCATTATGCTTCATGTAACATATTGGAAACTTAAGCCCTTTTAAAACATACATTGGAAGTGATTTAAAATTTAAAAGAAAAAGAGCAAAAAAACAAACAAACAGGAAAAGAAAACAAACAAATAATAATAATAAAAAAACCAAAACAAAACAAATATGCCGGGACCAGGATTCGAACCTGGGTTACTGCGGCCACAACGCAGTGTCCTAACCATTAGACGATCGCGGCGAGCCACCGAGCCACCGGATGAATGACAAATAGAATTGTTTCAATTTTAAACTGTTAAATGCGTAGCAGGTGTATTCATTACCAGTCTCCACGCATGATTGTGTTAGTTTCTCGCTAATTTGTCGAGTGCATAGGACGAGGCGTCCACACGCAAATTTTTGGGATAATTCTTTAATTTTCGTTCAAGTATATTTTTTAAATTCGGCCTCTCGATGCGCGTTCTTCTTATTTTGGAATTATCCGCCCGATTACTTAATGAACTGTACTCCACTCCGTTCAATGACTATTACTCAGAAATTTGTGCAGAATTCCATAATTGAAATTGGATACCTATAATTGGACACCCACGTGATTACGGACCACTTACGAGACAACTAGACGCGCTAAAAAACCAATCAGAGTTGATAATTTTGGTTTAATTAAGATCGAAAATATCATTTTCCCTGCATCTGCACAAATTTGTGAATCAGCGTCAGGTGATTCAAACCATCTCTTAAGTAGTCGTCCCCTACCAATCATGGGTGAGTTTAGAATTTCTGTCACAAATACGGTGACAGACATTTAAAGGAGGTTTAAAGGAGGTTCAAAGGGTGACTTACGTTCTTTGTATGAAAGACGTATTTGGAATACTGGTCTACCAAGCACTGTGTTTTATTCTTGAAAGCAGAAATGGAGCTGTTCGACCACCATTTTTTAAGGTTTCCGTCTTTGTTGAACAGCCGCCCTAAAGACACAAAACATTTTTTTGCAGTGTGACCTTTCCTCGACTCCTGGTTTCAGAAAGGGAGGGAGCAGCGATGGGCGGGGGGGGNGAGGGGTGGTTAAGAGGGGATAGAACTGCTATTAAATGATAATTATACTCTGCACTCGTAGCTATCGAATAAGATGTATGTAGTCTTACCATTGTCATCGAAACCGTGAGTAATTTCGTGTCCAACCACCATCCCGATTCCTCCATAGTTTAAGGCCCTAAACGGAATGATAATAAAATACATTGAAACAAATGAGGACGTAGAAAAATAAATAGACGCAGGCGAACTGTGTGACTGACTAGGTGACTGAGTGACCGAGTGACTGAGTGGCTAGGTGACTAAGTGACTGACAGACAGACAGACAGACAGACTTGACTGACAGACTGAAGGATGGCTGACGGACTGACTGACTGACTGACTGACGGACGGACGGACAGACAGACTGACTGACTGACTGACTGGCTTACTGACTGACTGACTGAATGACTGAATGACACCGCCTTCGACTGAAGAACTTTTAACTAACTTTCTGTAGTGGAAAACGAGTCAGTTTCCAGTTCATACTCACTTGGGGTATCGATGATCATAAAAAGGTTTCTGTAATATACCAGCAGGAAATGCTAAAGGCAGATGGAGTAAACAGGCGATTCATTGATGAGTTTATTATTTAGCTTCACAACAAGCAAGAACAACTATACTCATTTTTTTGCTCAATTCTTGTTCTATTTTGTGACAATGATCTCCCGATCTTTAGTGTTCCAAATTAGCATAGCAACGCTAAATACCATGACACTTCAATAAAATGATTTATCTTATTTCATATATATATATTTTTCGTGTATATCTGTATTGACCCGAGACGCCATCCTCATTTCTTTCATTTTTTCTAATTTTTTTCTGTTTTTTAGAAATAACTTACGACTGCTTTCGATTAAATTCTGCATACAACTAATGCTGTAGCTGCACAACTTTAGAACCCATTGCCTGGTAAAGAGGGAAAGACAGTGAGCTGACATAGCTACGGAGAAACTTGAAGACGAAGTCACACTCACCTATTTTGTTATCAATCGACGAGTAGTAAGCGTTGACTGTGGGAGGTGTCATGGACCACCTGTCGTAAAACATAACGGGGTTATTTACTTGGCAAACGTTGGGATTAACGTGCAATGTTTAACATATTTCTTCGCTATCCTACCTCTCTTTGTCCACGGGCTTGCCCAGTTTGGCGTAATTTTTCAAGTTAAAATATGTGTAAGATTGCAGGATGTTTTTGAAATACTGATCCTTTTTAACGTCAAACTGTTTGAAAGACAAAGAAATGAAATCAGAATCATTAAGACAATTTAGTTTTCTTCCTCGGTAGGCAGGGAATTCAAAATGTATCCACCTTGATTTCGTACCTATGAAGTGTCCTAAAATTATCATGGAGAATCTGGGGGTCAATCTTTGTGCTCAAGTGACTTGTCACTTTCTATTGTAGCCATGCACTACCCAAGTTTTCAATTTACCTTCTTGTCTTAATGATATTATGCTAAGTTCCTTTCACTTTCTTTTCAGTCTTAACATTTGTATAAATTTCGACTTTTTTATGATTAACTTTAGCAATTTTCTGACATAAGTGACAAGTTTTAAAACTCAAGAGGACGGTTCAAAGATGAGAGATTAAAAAATGATTTTCTGAAAATACTTACCCCCTTAAACATCTTAGCCAACGCTGTTTTGTTTGTTAAGTATTCAGGATAGCCAATGTTTTCGCGTATTGCTTCAGCCTGTAAGAATATAAAATTGCATTTCATTTGACATTTCACCCGAGGAAAGACATAAACTACAACAAAAAATTGCATCTTTGAAAGTTCACGATTCTTTAATATGTGATTTTTCATGTCTTTTGCATTTGCCTTTTAGCGGAGCTCCCGCGCGCCGAAGGCGCGCGAGCAGAGCCCCATTCCTTAGAAATTTTGGTAAACCCATCAAGCCGAGAAAATTTGGTTATGATGTCACCGTACGAGCGAGCGAGCGAGCGAACGCCGTCCGTACAGACTCTGGGGGAGGGGGAGAGGAGCCTCGGGGTAACGCAAAGTGGGGAACCGAGAGATGCCATCTTTTTTTGGCGGGATTTTTAAAGAAAAGAAAACTCATTTCTATTTGTCT